TTTTCCAACCACATACTGTCTGATAAAACAAAGTAGCGTCACATCACTGCGGACGCCTTCAACAAAACGAGGATGTTTCTTCGTCCGATTTGATTGCGTAGACCCATAAAAAAAACGACGATTTGTCACTGTTACCATTTGATCGGCGGCATTCGGGGGACAACACGATGTTGTCGACAGCGACACCTCCATATGCAAGTTCCCTGACAGCCGCCATGATCAGAATCTTGAAGATGAGAGGAAAAAATGTCAATGTTGAAGAACAGTTCTCATGAAAGAAAAAATACATATGACACAGTTTATCTACAAATGTTAATTCCCAAGGTGCGGCGGCCTTGCATCAAAAAAGTGTGTGTGGGTTCCAGGATCAACACTCACTTGAAAAGTGGAGTTATTGACAATTTCCACTTCAGCCTTGACCCAAACATCACCCAGAGCTCCGCCCCGCTTCCACGCTGCCGAGATGCTCTTATCAGCCACCAGCACCGTCAGTCCGCCAGACCTCGGCCCAAACTGGTGTGTGTACATGACCATCTACAGCAGGAAGTGGAACGGACGCGGCTCAAATCACGCAAACGTAAATAGTAAGCTCACCCTCCCAAAAAAAAAGTAACTGAAGAAAATATGTGTGCTTGCCTTGCACGGATGAGTACTAGTGGTGGGTTCTAGGGGAGGACTTTGGAACGCAGCCCAATCCTTTCGGAGCCCGCCGTCGGGAACAGTGACATACAAGAAGTGACCTGCCAGACACACCAGCTTCAGCATAACTTGAGTAGATTTAAAATACATTTGCATTCAGTTGAACTTAGCGCATCACATTGTGCTGCAAAAACGTGGTTGAATCATGAATTATAATTGGTCGTACCCGATACGCTGTTGTTGGAATGATCCCGTCCTGGTCCTTTCAAAGGATCTGAGATGTTTTCCTGACTGGTCCGTACCCATTTTAGATTGGACAATGACCTGAGGTCCCAATCGCACACATCATTCTCAAAGTCACAGCGCCGATATCCCTCTGCGCGCGCACACACACACACACACACACACACACACACACACACACACACACTGCGCGCACACACACACACACACACACACACACACACACACACACACACACACACACACACACACACACACACACACACACACACACAGTTACGCACTCTATTTGAACTGCTGATCTATTTGTGTTGATTGACACTAACCGAGATATTCATACTGTGTGCAGATATGATTAAAAAAGTTCAAGTCAATCATGAAAAGTCAACACAAACAGAGTTCCCGGAATCGGCATTCCGGCGTGTTGTTCTTGTTTAATCCTATGCGGTTATATTTTCAGTTCTTTATCGTCCGCGCTTTACTGTCATGATCACTCAGTATGATACCGCAGATATTTCTGCAAACTTCAATCACAATTATAAGCATGTTGTAACGACTAGATAATTACAAATAATATCAAGAAGCTTTAACATTGACATCGTAAAAGGCAAAGGCAGGAGACTCGTTTCTTTTGAGCTGACACTCGCTATTGGAGTGCTCTTCTGTCCCTTTGTGATGTCCTTTTGCTTGTGTTTACGCACCGCAGTTCTCCTCATCGGTCCAGTCGCCACAGTCATCGGTGCCATCGCATACTTGACGTTGGGCGACGCAGCCGCCGCGCTTACACGCCAGCATTTCGGCTGGACACTCTTTGCCAGGTAGTGGCACTGAAGAAGTAAAAGAGCGTGAAACAAGAAACATTTCTTTGTGGATTTTTGCGGTGTGGTGTGAAGCCGGAGTAGCCCCGCCCAGAGAGAACAATCGAAAGGGTGGCCATTTTATATTGGACGACAGTATCGCTAAGAAGAAAGCGATTTAATTGGGGGTGCTCACAGGGCAAAGCGCAGTCCAGAAACTCCAGCTGGTCCACGGCAACATCTCCTCTCCGCCCCTCGAGGCGGTTTGAGTAAAGATGGATCTGAAAGGGTGCGGCGATGCGGCCCAGAAAGACGGTGGCCTCCCTCCATCCTCGGAAGCTGGTGGCTTCGGGCCGCCACACGACGGCCGTTTCCGTGTCCTGCTGGACGACAGATGCCAAGAGCGGAGAGGAGCCGAGGCCTGTTTGACCTGCGGCGATGTCACATTCGTACCGGAGCTGTGACGTTGTCCTATCGCGCCCCGTCGCAACGCACCGCGATTGAAAACGTCGACGGCTTTGAGAGAGCTACCGTTTGCTTACCTGAATCCCACAGGAAATATCTGAGACGAAGGCGACATGTCGGCGAGGACTCTTGCATCTTTGGTGACACAAGGACTGCGGTTTTGACACCTTGGGACTTGACCTCTGTCACACCCATAAACCAACCTGGACGAAAAGTGCACATTAAATCGTTCACCCGCACAAAACATTTATGATAGCCCATACAACGCCGTGTTATTGCAGATGCTTTTTTGAAGTGACATTGATGTCATCCATACCCGAGGCAGTTCCAGTGGTAAAGTCAGAGGACGGCCCGCTTCCCGTCAGCGTGTCACCTCTCTGACGTCGTTCCCACCTGTATGCTGCATTCAAGGACTGGTCCTTCCATCCGCATATTCCTGAGTCCTCAAAGTCACACCGGAATCCCTTCCCGCTGTAGCCTTGGAAGGAATACACAGACTTACTCCGTCAATATTGTTACTTTAGGAGTCATTTCGGGGACAGGAACCGTACCGCAGTCTTGTTCATCATCGCAATCCAAACAGTCACACACAAAGTCGCATCTCCTCTCAGGGCTGAGGCATGGATGAGAGGCAGCTGGGGAAAAAGCAAGAGGAAAGCATTCATTCAACCGGCTCTGCAGCGGATGCTGACAATCGGACAGTCGCTTTACCAAAGTTTGAATGGTTCAAATTACCTTCCAGGGTCAATGCTATGATATATTTTACTCAAGGAGTTGCTTTGTTTTGGAAAATCAACAGTGCCTTTGCGTTCTGCTTCATTCATTCAGCCGGGTCTTATCTGATTTCATGACTGTCACAATTTATGGCACAGTTCTTTGCAGCGGGCTCAAAGGCCACAGGGAAAGTAATCCGGTTAATGCGGGCAAAATGCCAATTGTCCATCCAAAGGTCTCTAAATCAGAATTGTCGGAGAGCACGTTGGACAAAAACACCGTCTCTATCGTCAGCACCTTTTTGTTTTTTTACTCCTATGTAACGGCTGCAACATAATTTAGAGTTGCATCGATGATATGTTTGTGCGTTTCCATCTTGAATAGCATAGAATAGTTCTTTACAAATAAATCACATTCGTTTTGCTGACGCAGAGATATGACATCGATGCATAAATAACTTTGAATTGCAGTAGAATATAACCACATCATGAAGAGGCCTGTTTATCATATTGATCATAGCTATAGTTTACATTGCGATAGCAGAAAAATATGAATATAGTTTAGTATAAGTACACTACTAAAACTATACAAATATCGGCCAATGTCCCTTTAAGGATGATAATGAGCCCCAAGATAAACACTTTGATTGAGAACGAATGATTTGATCTTGACAAAAAACTCAACACTGTATTTCATTTGCGCGAATGAAACTCATAAAAATAGACTTTCTGAAGCATTTGGCTTACTTGACTTACCAAAGTGCAGAATGAAAGCCAAGATGAGGGCTGAGGTTCTGATTTGTACAATCCTTCTCCCCTTCCACCACATCTTGGCAGCTCAGGGTTCTGATTGACGTCTCCCGAAGCTGACTTGTGTCTCTTTCTTATTATGTTCCTTCCTTAAAGATAAGAAGTGGACTTTAAGTTCTCCCGCCATGCAACTCTATCATAAACGGCGTATTAGGGCACACTGACAAATGAACGTGCCAAGATTTCACAGGCGGCACATACACATTTGTGATCACAACTTCTCCAGATGTCTCATGGGCAAAAATCTCCAGTTAATGTCGGGTATTGCTGAATTTTCTTCAACCATTATTTTTCAAGCATGGACTATGTATGAAGGTGGTGAGCCCATGCGGAGTGGGGACCCATATTATCTCTTCCAGCCCTGGCCCTATGTGAAAAAGTGCTTGCCTCCTAAATCTTATGAGTGGTTGGCTCATGATTGACATGGTTCCTTCAATCACAGCAAGTCATCCAGGTTCTGAAGTACCAGAACAGCCCCAGTCCATCACACGATCACCACCATGTTTGACTGTCTTACATTTGCACCACATATAACGAGGCACACACCTTCAACGAAGTTACACCCAAGTCTCATCGGTCCATAGAATATCCTCCCAAGTCTTGGCAATCCTTCATGTGTTTTTGTTTTTCTTTTTGTTCTTCTTGGTCAGCCATAGTTTTCACCTTGAAACCTGACGTGGATGTCATTTGTGCCCAGTTTCCTCATTATTGTTGCGGAATGAAGACTGACCTCCTAGATGAGTTGGCATTGTGTTTTGGGGGGTAGTTTTTTTTTTTGTTTGTTTGTTTTTTTTAGATCTGCTGTTCACCACTGCTTCATGTTTTCTTCATTTGTGGATAAAGGCTCTCACCATGGTTTGCAGGAGTCCTAAAGCTTTCGGAATGCCTTTGTACGCTTCCCCAGACTGATAGATGTTAATTACTTTTTTTTCCATCAGTTCTTGAATTTTTTGGGATTGTGGCATTTTCTTGCAGGTGCCTGATACCTTTTTGCCGAAAAGTCCTACACGGGTGCAAAAGTACATATACAGTATTAAATATGAAATGAATAAAATATTATATGATCAACGGACTTACACAAGCACCACTAACCGTGCGTGTGTGTGTGTGTGAAGGCTTGATTCCTGTAGGTGTTGCCAAACCAGTCTTGGCAACATAATTTATTATGAAACTGTGGAGTCAACTGAACAGATTATAAAAGAGGAGATATTGTTCTTTAGGCATTTCCAGCAGACCGTAGTCCAGGGTGAAGGTTTATACTTGTCAAATCTCATAAGCGCTGACATTATACAATACATCCACACCTAACTTTATAATCAATCATAAGAAACAGTGATTTTGCATGGCGTGTACATTTATTCGATATGAACTCAAGAGTCCATAACATTAGGTATGCATGAGTGCCAAACAACGAGATCCAAAACTCAAAAACAAAAATTAAAATAAAAATCTATGTGAGTGAAGGTTATCACTGAGGTATGGATATAACAATGTTTAATATATTTAACTATAAGTCCACACTGAAGCTGTAAAAACGGACAAAACTGCCACTGGCAATAAAACGGATTCTGACAAATTACACAAGTAGTATTTATTGAAATCATTTCTTGCCTAATTTGACCTTTTCAACCTAGCACGTCAAGTCACAAGTCACCACTGCCACCATGTGGTAAAAAAGGTGAGAAGTGAAACCATAGAAATAATTAGTGACTTTAGACATAATAGCATCAGGATGTAAATGTGGTACCGAAAAGTTCATGATGAATATGGTCTTTGATTCTGGTGTCCATTATATTTTTGCGATGGTTCTTATCAGTATCCTTCGTTATCCCAGGTCACCTCATAATCCGGGTACTGAATCTTGAGTTTCTCAGTGGTTATTGCGTGGTTTGCTCTTCCGAACCCCTGTAAAGGAAAAACAACACAGACACTGTCACTAGCCCTTGGGAAGTACACTGTCAGGACTTGCGAGGGGGCTGAATTGAACACTCACCATCGAGTAACCGTAAACATGGATCTTCTTCGCTTGGGCATCATGTCTGATCCTTCCCCCTCCGACACATTCGCAGTCCAAGAGTCCATCCTTTTCCAATTCCTCAGAAACCTTATCGTAGATTTCCGCTGACATGTACAATTTCATGTGATGATGTGTATTGTACAAAAAAAAAAAAAAATCATCAAAAAATGGGGGTTTATTGGGGGGGTTAACAGTTTTGGGGGTCTGGATATTTTTTCGTCACACATTAGCAGCACTCACCGATATTTAACTATAAGTCCACACTGAAGCTGTAAAAACGGACAAAACTGCCACTGGCAATAAAACGGATTCTGACAAATTACACAAGTAGTATTTATTGAAATCATTTCTTGCCTAATTTGACCTTTTCAACCTAGCACGTCAAGTCACAAGTCACCACTGCCACCATGTGGTAAAAAAGGTGAGAAGTGAAACCATAGAAATAATTAGTGACTTTAGACATAATAGCATCAGGATGTAAATGTGGTACCGAAAAGTTCATGATGAATATGGTCTTTGATTCTGGTGTCCATTATATTTTTGCGATGGTTCTTATCAGTATCCTTCGTTATCCCAGGTCACCTCATAATCCGGGTACTGAATCTTGAGTTTCTCAGTGGTTATTGCGTGGTTTGCTCTTCCGAACCCCTGTAAAGGAAAAACAACACAGACACTGTCACTAGCCCTTGGGAAGTACACTGTCAGGACTTGCGAGGGGGCTGAATTGAACACTCACCATCGAGTAACCGTAAACATGGATCTTCTTCGCTTGGGCATCATGTCTGATCCTTCCCCCTCCGACACATTCGCAGTCCAAGAGTCCATCCTTTTCCAATTCCTCAGAAACCTTATCGTAGATTTCCGCTGACATGTACAATTTCATGTGATGATGTGTATTGTACAAAAAAAAAAAAGATCATCAATAGATGGCGGTTCATGTGCGGGATGATCAGTTTGTGGGGTCTGGATATATTTTCGTCACACATTAGCAGCACTCACCGTGGTACTCGGCCCAGCCATATCCACGGACTATGTCTACTTCTGTGTCGTCTCCTTTCTCTTTGCTGTGGACTCTGATGAGGACGTATTTGAACACACCGGAGGCATCGATGTCTGCCTGCGGGATATTTACCATGCGGGCAGCAGCTTTCGTTTGTGTGCACATGTCCGCACAACTTGACAGCCACGGGGGCAAGTAAATTAGCAAACTAGGGGTTCCTATTAGAAGTGCAAAATCTGTTTGGCTGGTGCAAATCTAATGTATTGCGATTCCATGCATGACTACAAACTTCAGTGTTTTGCAGCAGGTTACTTCCGTATATTCAAACTACTTCTGGTTCACCGTTTTCAAAACAATATATTGACTGACTGGCTTCCTCTGTTCTATCAATTTGGCAGGCTATTGGGATGGAATGACAATTCTGTTTTTATTTTAGCTTTTGGAAATCAAAAATAAATAGTAATTAACAGCAAATATACGAAGAAAAATATTGACATCGTAATTTGTAACTTTTATTATGAAAGAAACGGAGCCAGGACAGCCACTTCCTTTATACACGCGAACGTGACTACATATTTCAGTATACTGTTTTCTCTTTCGTTCTTTACAGTGATGGCGGAAGTGTAGGATGCATGTAAATGTACTTTTAGTGAAATATTTAAAACAGCGATCAAGATAGCAACCACATTGTCACCATAATTGCAAAATTTCTGCAAAAAACATACAATTGAGTTAATCTAAAAAGAAATGGGTAATATATTCCTGAACCATTGTGGTCTTAAGATTTCAAAACATATTAATAATTGTGTTGTTTATGTACTCCAGACATTAAATCAAACAGTTTCAAGACATATTCTACTTTGTGTGTTTGGTCCACCAGAGGCTTTATGTATACAAAATTACAGTCAAATGTTTGCGGTGTGAGACATCAGAAGTCACTTTGCAAGCAAGTTTGAGGTCCTGTAAAATCATGTTCAGATTTAAATCCAGGGTGATACCGTGCAAACTGTACCACAGTCTACTTGCTTTCTGACTGTACCGCGTGTCATTGAAAGTCTAGAGAGCTCGGTCACTGAGTCCTCTCTTTTTCCACTCACGGGCTCGAAGTGCGATGAAGACCAAGACGGTAACCGAGAGCAGCACAAAAAGAACTGTAAGGCTTTCCCATATTCCCGGTGCCAATGCCTTCCATGTTCGAACTTTTTCTGATGGCAGCAAATTACTCAGACTCAACATGTAGCCCAGAGCCCACCCAACGGAGGCATCGCCAGCCTGCAGGATAAAATAAAATAATTGTGATTGGAACAGGCACCTTCATTTTCATAAGAGCAGAGAGGAAAACGCCTGACTGTTCAAAGATGCCAAAGCTTTCACCTTCTTCTTGAAAGAAATGCGTGAGAATGACTTTTCATCAAAGCGGTATCCTTTGAGAAGGAGAACCTTGACAAACACGGACGAGGCACAATAATCCCTCAGGCGAGACGCTTGGTCTGGAGCAAGAGCCAGCATCTAAATATTGTGTAAAAAAAAAAAAAGGCGCTAGTGTGTTAATGTACAATTAATATTATGATTTATTGTCCTTTGAGGGGTCAATCAACCATTTGAAATTATATATTGAATGACTAATACTTTGGTGTATTGTCCGTCCCTCTGAATAAGAATAAAATATTACATATACGTGGTTGATTGTTGACTTTGTGATGTTACTTTTTTTTTAATATATGTGAAACATACTTTCTCTGATAGGATTTGTCCATCCCCTATAATCTAGAATGCATTAGTTATTGTAAAATTCTTCCAAACATGTGCAGACATATAATAAATGAGAGATTATTCCAAGAAACCCTGAACCACAAATGAAACATGTGACACTTACCTGAGCAAAACTCATCTTGCACACTGTTTGAGCAGCTTCCTCCATTTGTGCGGGAGTGCTCACTGTGATGCCAGTGATGCGCCGCAGGAAGGCGTGAATGTAGAAAAAGGCCGAAAATGCCTGTTTAAGCAGACAAGCGCAATAACTGCACATGCAATGAGAGTGTACAGCAAAATAAAGTCAATGTTTCCAAGAGCCCAATGTTACCATTCATACCATAAAGCTGCCGGTCACGTTGGGCTGAAAGACGTTATCGAAGGAGCAGTGAGAGAAGGGGCAGCTGTCGAAGGAGAAGATCTCGGAAACATTGCCCACACATTGCTCATATTGTCCGCTGCCGTGTATGAGCAAAGAGCCTTGCACTTCATAGGTGCTCGGTTTGTACTTGGCTGTACATGGAGAGTTGAATATGCTGTCCAGATGTATTTTTACGGAAGAATCTGTAGGATGGCATGGGTGAGTGATTGATACTGAATGACCCTGAGACTGAGAGAGAGAGAGAGAGAGAGAGAGAGATGGACGGATGACTTTACGGATGCCTTCTCCAAAGACTTTACATAGCAAAAAATAAATACGTAAAAAATAACACCTTCATTTCTCACATTGTAACATGGGATATTTATGCAGATGGATATAACACAAAGATTTTTTTGTAACTTTTAATTGAAAGTATGTGCAATATTTTGCTTACAATCAAGCCAAAGTTAAGTCAAGTACCTTGACAATGTGGGCCAGCAGCCTCTTGAGGACCTGATCCTGTCCGTAGCATAGGAAGCTGTGTGTGTACAGAGAATACTCCTGACCATACAGACGTAGCTTCATCATGTCCTTCTCATCCTCCACTTGCTCTTGAGTCACAAATGTTATCTGGGTGGATGCACCGCCGAAATCGAGGGCCCCGACTGTGGGCCTCTCCGAGCTGAGCCACTGCCCTACAAAGCCATACTAGAAGGGAATTACAGTAGAACAATGAGGCACCGTTGTACTGTCCTTTGTCTAAAAAGTGTCAATTTTGTCTCAAACACTGATCAATTTTTACAACTAACCATTGACCACCAACGCAGACATAGTCGGTCTTTTATTTCCTCTTAATTAATTTGGATCTTTAAAAATCCTTGTGTAGCCAATTCAGACGGTATATACCTAGCCAGTTATAAGCCACTAGTACCCCTTCCAGACTGAGCTGGTGCCAGTACTTGTTTGTTGCTGGTATCCCGCCTGGAGCAGTGAGTGGGCATCAGAGGCAAAGCACTGGAGTAACGCAGATCATACACAGAACCATCTATCTCAGCCTTGGCCACTCACTTCCTCAGCTCTATTCACTTTTGGTGTCCCACAGGGCTCAATTGTAGATCCTTTTACTTTTCCCATTTTTTTTTAAACTTTACTCTTTTGCTCCTCCAACAAGAAACATGGAATATCCTCCCACTTGTATGCAGATGACACAGTGCTTTGAAAAAGAGTAATTGATAGTCTACCGCTCCAATGTCTTCATGAAATAAAGGCCTTGCTGCCGCAGAACTTTTTCAGTTACCAGAATCAGTTGAATTCCTAATGAGTGTACCCATACCTTGATGAAATTCTCTAAGAGGTAGTTGACAGTGACCCAACCGTATGCTCCCTCCTCTTGACCGGACAGAATGGTGGCCCCCTGGTAGCTGAAAGGGTATGACTGGATTTTACGGCCAACTTCTTGCAGAATTTGAGCTGAATGCTGTGGACTGGAAATGCTAGGAGGTTGAAAAAAACAAAACGTTAACATATCGTATCTAACATTTCCACCGAACAATCTAATACGATTCACTTTTGGGTGCCAGCCAATCACAAAGCACATACAGTCAAACAATGGTTCACTCCCGCATTCACAACAAAGAACATTTAAGAGTCTTCAATCAACTTAAATGTTCCCTTATTGGAATGTAGGAGGAACCTGCAACCACGCATGTTTTTGCAATGTGGGACGAAACCCACAGAAGACCCACACAGGCATGGGGAGAACATTGCTTATCCTCACTAAGATCGCGGTGTACTGCAGCCTATCTCAGATGACTGAGGGCGAGTAGACCCAGAGCTAGTCGCCAGCCAATTGCAGGGCACTTACAAACAAACAACCATTCACACTCACTTTCACAGTCCTAACTCAAGCCAACATGCATGTTTTTGTAATGCGGGAGGAAGACCGGACTAGCCGGAAAAAAAGATGGATGGTCTAGAATATGAAGACACAGATTTGCAAAATTCCATCCAAACCCGCACAGATCACCACCCACACTGACTCACCGCAGAAGCCGCATGCCAGCTGTGGCCCCCAAGTACACGGGTGTGACCTTGTGTCTGTGTGCAGGGACGTCGTGCACTGCCTGATCGAGACACACCTCCAAGCTCTGCCCGACCACTCCCTGTTGGCCCGCATAGCTGGAGATCCCACCACCTGAAAGAGAGATCAGCACTTCGTGACATGACTCATTTTGTGATTTGAGCATGTCGATTCACCTCCACAATGGCTGTTTATAGATTATAAGAAGCGTAACAAAATTAAAATGCAATGCAAATACTGTACTTCGAAAACAGATGAAGTGAGAGAATCCATTTCAACTTACCCGTTGCATGGCATTCACTGTGTTGGGTGACCACACCGGTGCCATTTTGCTTGTCTGCCGGCCACTTATATACAAATAAGGATGTGTGTGAGGATCCGGCATCCAAAACGATTCCATACTACAAGATTAGGGAACAAATTAAAGATGAATACATAAACTCGCAATTGTCATGCATCGAGAATATAAGACTATCATTTAAAATATGTGGATCTGAATAAAAAAATCACATGTCCAGCGTCAGAGATTCTTCTGGGGAACCTCGCCTCCTATGGTCTTTGGTTACATGTGAACCAACCTCACACTATCACACATCCAATAATAACCCGCGGGGCCGACCTTACCATAAAGCCGGGCGCCACGGGGATGTCTTCGCTCGGCACAGTGAGAAGCAGGACTGCGGCCAGACCGAGCACCAGCAGAATGAAGAGGACGGCAGGATGAGCCGCACACTGAGCCATGACCGAGGCAAAACGAGGATCGCCGGATGACTGTAATGCGCTATGTGAGCGCCTCGAGTTGGATAAGTCGCTCTAACTCCTGCTCGCCCTGTTTACATCCCACTGCAGAAAGCAACATTTAGCATTGTTGGACTTACGATCCTCCCCACGTCGAAGCTCCAAGGCTACTCGTTCTGCCCAAGGAGCAATGTTTGGACTTGGAGCCCCAGTTGATGTGTGAAGCGAAGCCTCGTGCTCATTTGTTGCTTGGATCAAGTCGCAAATCCACGTTTTCTTGGTCTGAGAGCCCAAAGCGCACAGTTAAGTCACTCAAGGGATGAAAACAATGGATGTCTCGGGCTGGCAGGGATCCACATTGTAGGTGACTGGACTGAGGAACTGCAGGGCTGCTTGTTGTTTTTGTCTTGTATTTGCATGTCAATGGGTGCAGCCCCTCAACTGGCTTGCAAATAGCATCCTCTTTTGAATGGAACCTTAACCTAGGAAGTGAAGTTTTCCGCAGACGACTAAACTGGTCTTGGTGCAGTTTTACAGCAAAATCTCAACTATATTGGAGTTTATTGGAACCCAAACTAATGAAAAGGCCATTGAATTTACTCAATAGCCTTTTCATTATCTGCACAACTACACTCAAACAGCTCACACAACACCCATTCAAAAGTGGATTTTTTTGTTGTTGTTTTGCACAGGGAGTGCAATTTCATTCTGTCCATTTGCATGCGACGACAGACTTTGTCAGTGCCATACTTCCGTGATGGCTGGAGATTAAAGACAGAGGTCTGAATAATCTGGCTGCGAGTCCTCGAGGGCCTTTTTCCTGTATGTTTCAGACGTCTCCGTCCTCCAACATAGCTGATTCAAATGTTCCGGATCGTTATCATGCTTCTGCAGAGCTTTCTGATTATCTATACCAGGGGTCACCAATTTCTTTGCAACTGACAACTACTACTACCCCACCTCATGCGGAAAGTTAGATGGGACTGGCTTCCCGAACAGGATAAAAGGCAGACCACAGATGGCTGAAGAATGAAACTTACAGTATTTATAGATGCAGGTGATGAATCATTTAAAAACATGATTTGGGGACTTGCAAGTACAATTTTATTTACAGTCCTGTTAACAAAATGTTTCAATGACTTAAGATAAGAAACCAAAGCGATCCCGCTGTATACTAAGCCCGTGTGCATGCCCGTAAAGTACAATGCGTGTGTGCGTGAGTGTGTGTCCGTGTGCTCGTGCGTGTGACTAAATAAGTAAAAGACATTCTCAGCGGCGCTCATAACACAAGCACGCTATACAGTTTCCCCAAATCCTTATGCACTCGAAAACAAACTCTATTAATTAATTCTATTTCCTTTGATCGAAGTGCTTCCACAATAACAATGCAAGTCTAGACGAAAAAACAAAACAAAACAGAAATGCGATGGCAGCGGTAATAACATGTCAGCATGCAGGCCAGAGCAAATTGTTCAAAGGAATACGGCATGTTTGGCACCATGTGATTGTGCAAAATGTTTCATATTATTTGAAGTCAAATCGATTTCATTCGTGTCTAACAGTGCAGAATAATGACAATGATGATGATAATAATTAAGAAACATCAGTTTGGATTTTATGTCATAGCGATTTTTTTTTTTTTTTACAGTTTGGAAACGCCCTCTCAGCGTAAAGTGCTATGTGGTGCTCGACACCGGGAAGGCAGTCGTTTCTCAGCTCCAGAAACTTGGGAAAAGGCCCGTTTTTGCATCCAACCAACGCTTGCTCGCAAGCTTCGCAATGCTTCAAATTCACTCAGGCTCCTTCGTGGAAAAAAGTTCCCCGGCGACAACCTGTGCCTCGAGGAAGGTTTTTTCCACCAAAGATTGAGTGCTGGTTGGCTGAAAAACTCGGCCTTTTGATGCAACCCTTTCGAGACCGGAAAAGAGAGAGACTGCGGCAGGAGAGAGGAAAACAGAGGGCAGCCCCAAACGTGACATGGCTTCCAGCGTAAAAAATAGCACTTGGCAGTTTCCTCAGGCGGCAAAATAAATGCTTTCTTCTTCTCGAAAGTGGTAAAAAGCTCCAGTGATTTGGAGTTTTAAGAAATGTCGTCATATCATCGGACAACACGCATTTGGCATTTGAATGGAAAACTCGAAGGACGGATGCCGTGTCCAAAGAATCTCAACTATAACTGTTGACATGAGTATTACATGGCCAGTGGCATTCAATAGTAGCTCATACACACGCACATGCTCTAGTGATTAATCTGATACTATACTGATCATTAGGCTCTTTAGTAGTGCTTCCCAATGACATAAATAACACAAAACTATTTTGCCTAAGGTCACACCGACAATTCCTCAGAAGAAGCTTACAGTAAATATTGCAGGATTGTGTAACTGTTGACATGAGTATTACATGGCCAGTGGCATTCAATAGTAGCTCATACACACGCACATGCTCTAGTGATTAATCTGATACTATACTGATCATTAGGCTCTTTAGTAGTGCTTCCCAATGACATAAATAACACAAAACTATTTTGCCTAAGGTCACACCGACAATTCCTCAGAAGAAGCTTACAGTAAATATTGCAGGATTGTGCCCAAACCCCCCCCCCCCTCCCTCCCATGAACTATTACAGTGTTTAATAGGCTCTACTTGGAAGTGATATGTTACAGTACTGGTATTAAAAGTGGCTTATTCATTGTGACTAAACGGCACGGCAGAAAGCGATGAGGCAGATTAAGAAAATTGGAATCAACGACAAAAGGTTTAAGTCAGTAACTAAAGTCGGCGAAATGACATAAAAGATGACGTATCGAAGTAGTAATATACATGTGGAAAAATTGTAAATGTGATTCGGATGGCTCCGTGCATGCTCGGGGAGCCTACAAACATCTACCTGGAAAGGTCAGGTAATCCTGACTGTTCAAAAAGGTGCAAGTTGAGGGTTTTGAGCCACGTCTTCAGCTCCTCCACAAGCTCCATCGGTTGGCGGGGAAAGGACGCGCGAGACCACTCTCCTCACGTCACCTTCCTGTTCTTGTTTCCTCTCTCCTTCGGCTGGGGTAGGGGTTGGGGGGAGGGCAGCGAGGCTTCGGGAGGTGGAGGGGGTCGGGCGAGGGGGTCATGCTCCCTACACCACAGTGCTGACGGAGGGGTCGGACAAATTGAGTTGTCCCGTGATGTCAGTGGGTGGGTACTGCTGCAGAGATGGAGAGAAAACGGGAGGAAGAGAGAACAGGCAAGGGCGTCATTTCGTGTTAAAAAAAAAAAAAGTAGTAAAAAAAACAAACTTTTTGTGGAGTTGTGGTCTCATAGTCACCACATTTAGTTTTAAAAGCATTCAAATACTACGGAAGAGAGGGATTGTAACCCCTCTCAGGCTGATTAGTTTGGTTCTCTTGCTTGAGGCGGGTCAGTTGGGAGCAGATGCTCTGCCTGAGCCGGGACAACAGCACCTTTGAATCATGTATTTCCTTCCAAAGGATGATTTTTCTTTAACACGAAGGGCTCACTTCTCCGTGCAGTCTTTTGTACCTCCGTCTTGTCTCATTTTCGCAGCCCACGAAGAGAAAAAGCTGCATTTTGGGTTGATTTCAAAGCGCTGTTGTGGCTGAGCCACCGCGTTCTCTCTGTACGCTTCATCTCAAGCAAAGTGGAGTAAATTATAGAGAGGGGCAGAGAGACTTGGTTGACATGCAGGTTCCTAGTTGCTATGGTAACGGCGATTTTGCTTGATTGATTTTTGCCTTGAGAATGTGGTCTGATAACCGCAGGTCGCATTTTTCAGCGTTGCTGCTTCCCCCCCACCCCCGATTGGCAAGCCTGATTGAACAACCATAAGTAAATGATTCTGGAAAACAAAATTTGCCTTGTCAGCATTATGTTCTTTTATACATAGTGCTCTTGAATTTCCGAGTGGTTTTGTTCCTCAGTTTAAACTTGGGAGCCACATACAGAAATATGAATGTGGATTAGGGCGACACTAAAAACAAAAAGATTTTTTTAAAAAGCCAATATTTGATGAAGTCAAGGTCGAAATTTCCAGACAAATATCATCGCAGCATGCTGAGTCCTTTTCCATATTTAATTTTTTTTAGTTTTTAGTGAAGCCCCAATACAGTCCTCCTTCCGAGAGCGACATCCACACCGGAGATGCACGTCCTATCTTCAAGAATGGATGCTCCTCATTAGCATGACCTTCAAGTTCCTGCTCGTGACTTACAACTCCTTCATCGGCCCGCTAACAGCGACCTCTACCGGGGTCAAGTGGAGCAGCAGCGCATTCGAGACTGCACAGGCAAACCGATCGTTTAAAATGGACCACATGAAAAGAGCTACGATGGAACTGCTCACCACACGGCACAACTAGAGGCTACGACACCGTTTTCTACTACCACTACATCTACGACAGTTGGCATGCTTGTAGAGGGAGAAAGGAGCAGTGTGGCATGTGGGTGAGGGACACTGACACTAAAGTCCATTGATATCCATTCATGTAAAAAAAGAACATTGATATAAAATCAAACAATAAAGGTCAAAGACTGAGGATGGTAAATATTTCAGTTCCATCTTGTGTGGGAACACTAAATGCTGTTTCACTTTGAGCTTGTCCACATGGGCCCCCAAACCGAAGTGAAAAATAAAGCAGAAAGAATAACAACGGCAATCCCTTTCTTCTTCTCTTCAAGTCTACCGCTGAACCTCAGGAAGGGAGAGTAAAAGGTAATTTTGTTCAAAATAAGGACAATAAAAATGACACTGAACACAAGAGAAAGTGAGAGACGAGATTAAACAAACGCCCGCGGGTACACACAAAAAGAGCATGACTTTTGCATTCGTGTGCTATATGCAACGGGTGGCGCTTAGACACTGATACTATGAAACTGATACTCTCAATGCCCAAAAACAAAAGATTCAAGAAGTGTAAAAGTCGACATAACCCCCCCAAAAAAACAAAAAGAAGTCTTCACCACCTGCAAATACCCTGAAAAGATCCCTGACAGTTCACGAGAAGGACACTGAAAAATAAACAATAATCATGACAGCAAAATATGAAAAGAAAAAAAATAATTGATTTGCATATCAATACAAATAAATCCACAAGTAATCCTGAAATGGACACCTGGATCAGTTTGAAACCTTGTTAGTTTTCTTCTCAGCAGGCTTGACTGTCAAATAACCACCTTGGAAATAATATTCGATTAAAAAAAAAAAAAAAAGACAGCACGACATGCTTTTGACCAAAAAAGAACAAAACAGACCAAGTGCAGGACCAGTGCAAAGAAAAGGTGAATACACAAAATATAAAGCCGCAACAATGACTCATCACAAACATTTAAAACACACACACACACAAACACACAGGACAATTGATTTACACCACACGCATCGCAACATGTCCAAGGCCCAAACATTTGGCAGATTCCACAACCAAACCAGCAGCCCAAGACAAAGCACCACTGGCAGCTTTAAAAAAATCAAAAAAAAAAAAAAAACCAATTCTTGATATATTTTATTTTGAAATCACCCTCCTACTGTGGACAAAGATTCCCGCTTCTGATCGAAACCGCCGGTTCGCCTCTCGTTAAGTCTCGCTCACGGCCTGACCTGACTTGCACTGAAGCCCTCCAGCCTGTGGAGGCGCTATAGATGCTTGATGGTGGCTGGAATGCTGAACTGACAGACACGTGGTAGAGACAGTTGAGCCCCGTGGATGTGGGATGAGTGGAGGATGGTTCGCCCTCATGATCGGGTAATGGAGATGTGGGCAGAGCGGACAGAGGAGAAGAAAATAGAGAGGGAGGAATAAACAAGGGAGGGTGTCGCTTCTTGGTCTCCTTACCGTGTCTTTGGAGGACCTACGTCTCTTGATGCTGGAGGCCAGGGTGGTACTGATGGACCTAAAAGAGGCTTTCTTTTTGGGGTCGGGCTCTGCTCTACCACTTTTTCTATCCTAAAATAAATATATGTAGAAAGATTATTCATGCTCTATGCCTGGGGGAGATCGCCTCGCTTTCACTTGGCTCTCCCATTCCCAGCCATTCCAATCACTGATGTCAAGTGGTGTGCTTGACTTAGATGGGAGCAAAAATGAGCAAAGAGGGAGATAGAGAGTGTTTAGGGCGTGAGAGTGGGTTTAACCGTATGATATGAGGGCACTCATAAATTTGATGCAAGCTGTCACACAGGCACTGCAAAGATGTCGCGGTAGTCCAATCGTCGGGCTCCTAGAAATGCATTCGAATGAGTGATGGGATTGTCAAGATGTCAGTGGGTGTGAGAGCATGTTCCACTCATTCAACTATCCCAAATATTGCCAAGTGGTGCCCGAGCGCACTCTTTACGGTTCCCACTGCCTTTCGTCAACAACAACACCGCCCATTAAGAATAGAAAGAGCGCGACGATATGCCAAATAAGTTCAACTTGATTTTGCCAACATTTCCACATGCATCCTATTTCAGAACTTTGACAGAAAAAAAAAAACTGCATATCCGTCACCGCCAGAGTGCCCCACCGCTACTCTCAGCTCAACAATTTTGGTGTGGGTGTGCATGTAAGAACTCATTAAGGTATTCTTACATCCTGAGTCTCTAGAGAGGAAGATGGCTGCATAGGGGGGAGAAAAGAAAAATAAAATAAATGTCCATCCACTTGATTGTCATTACGTAGACATATCCTTATGCATAAGCCAAAAGGATCGGGGGAAAAAGGGAAAATGCCCGAAGAAATAAAAGCCACTAGCAAAGCAAACATCCACATTCAAAGCCAGGCAGATATCAAAAAACGTCAAAGCTGCAATTGGTTAGTGGGGAGCCGCTGAAATGCATATGGAAGAGGGATACAACTGCAATTATAACTGAAGCCCACTTAAAGTTATTATACCGTAGGGGGTATAATGGAAATTCACCCCACACGTCAGGGAATGAAATGGGACGAAATATTTGAAAAGCAGACTCCAAATGATACACCGTAGAAGTCGGCTTAATGCGTGAAAGGAAAATACTTTTCACACTTCATACTGAAAAGAAAGCATTGCGTGACTAAAGTAAAGAATGAGTGAGAGGTCAAAAGTAGGGGGAGTGGGGGTGGGAGGGGCGGGGCTTTAGGGAAGCGGCAGGGCAGTGTGGGGTGAATTTCATCATGCCGGGACATTTCGTGGTCGGATGGGGGAAAAAGAGAACAAAATGGCAAAACGGAGCAGAAATAAAGACAAAACAAAACAGCATGACAAATTCAGAATCGGCAGCACTGGCCCCGCAGTGCCTCCTTTTCATCGGGTCACGTGTCCACACTTATTTTAAGGGTACGTTTGCGCCCTCCGGCACGTTCCTCTCAGCCGCCTGACGACATGCGATCAGGTGGCGAGCGGGCGGTGGCGGGCAAGGTTGGCGTGATGAAAGCTGGCAGGAGTGATTGGCGCACTGCGTCGCGTGCATTTTAATTAAGAATAACATGACTCTCCTGTTGGAAGATGACAGCTTTTGTTAGTTTAACATCAACGTGTGGGGAAACACCAACCGCCACAAAATGTGTCCTCCCTCGGGAAGGAAGACAAATCAATTCCCAAGTGACTTTTTTGAACCCAATTTCTGACATGTTTTGTTACCAGACTGGGAGATGGTTGTTTCTACAGAGAAAGTGGAGCATCAGCATCATCATCAACTCAGATCACATGACGGGTTTCTTGAATCACTTCTTTTAAAACGACGGGTTGGTTCAGACGGTGCACTTCCAACTAACATTTGAAGGGGAAATGTTTGAAAGGCTCATTTTTTTAGCGAGTTGGAGATTGCGGGGCTGAGCATCACGATGACAACGAAGAATGAAAATAACCATTCCAGTGGAGCGCAAAATTTTTAAATATATAGCCGTGTCCAGACTTTACAGTGACCCTGCTAGAGTGCGATGAAAGGTCAGTCAAACATAATTTATGCACTGGCGGCATATCGTGACCAAGACGGCTTTAAGAGAGTTAAAGGTAATTGAACCGACATGAAACTATTTTGATTAGCTCCAAGTGCACATTTTCTGAGATTTCCAAATTCCCCGTTCATGTGAATGCAGCTTGGTGTCATATACGGACGCGAGGCATCACGAACGACTTTTTACGTATGATTGCACATCCAAACAGTCCCCCGCAAAAATTGCCCGCAATGGGATTCCGGGACTTCATGGTCGCTGCACCGAGGGAGGAGGGGCGCACATACACTGCAATGATTTTCCGTCATGATGGTTTCGTGTCCTACATACCCAAGTTGTCATTTTGCATCTGTCAAAATGAGCGAACCATATCAGCGCACCCAAACAGTACGAATAACGTCTGGCACAGGACATATTGGATCAGCTCAATTCCTGGGCACCCTCATCACTCCCTCGCACGAGCTCTCATTATAGCGGTTGATGGCGCGGTGAAGATGGTGCGTATCTTTAGCTCCGAGGCGCTGCTGATGCTTCATGAGCAACGATGAGCGTGCTCCAGGCATCTTTGTTTAGTCTCGCAGAAAAATCGATGTGATCGTCGTCGACGTGGATCTAAATCATGCTAGTGCACTCGCAGTTTAAGTGCGCCCCCTCTCCTTTCTCCGTGATGCGACCCCCCCCAACACCCCACACCCTCCTACCCCGCCCACATTCTACCCAGCATGCAATCGTCCGCTGTGCACATACACATAACGTTACGTTCACGTCAGGACGCTCACAACAACAGTCGTTAGCAAGATGGCAGACACTTTTAGGAAGACATTGGCTTGCTGAAAGGCACTTGGGATCTTCGACTGTACCTTTTTCAGTGAGTTCAGGATCATACAGTGTACAGGTAGTGTGCAAGGCTCACGTCACCGAGTCAAAGTTACAAGGAGTTTCCCTGGACTACCCGACCCTCCGCTCGGGGAGCGAAACCATACGACTGAAGGCAAAATGGGCCTTAGTGGTTTTAAAAATCGGATTCTAATACCAGCGATTGTCAACATTTCACAATGTTTATCTTAAAGTCTCTCGATTTCGCTTTCATTATTATCTGCTGCTTGCCTGGGCCTCCAGCAACATCTTCAAGCTCTCCGATTGTGCCAGGAAAGAGAAGAATCAATGATGACATCATGGAATTGCACGCCGAACTAACTGATTGCTTTTACCGACTGGAAATTGTATTTTATTTTATTTTTTTTTAATGTTTGCATTATCTTACTTGAAACAAATTACCGCACGCAAGCGATAATAAGCTATTTTAATTAAGATGCCCAGTGTGTCATAAAGGCTCATAAAGGCTGTTGTGCAATTACTTGGAAAATAAATGATGATGTGGATAGGCAGGTAATTAGTTACACACGACTTGTATTTTAGATGCTCTGTTGGAGGTAGAGTCGCTGGCTCCTGTGCGGGATTTAGAGTTGAATATTTTTGTGTATGAGGTTTCCACATATTTACTTTTTCATCATCACACATTGACCCCTATGAGAATTGTGGCAAGGTATTGGGCCTCTCCTTCACCCCGTTTCGGACAAAGGAAATGGTTCCTACCTGCAGGTTCTTCCTCCAAACGTTAACGGCCGCAAAGGCGAGCTGCATCTGCTTCCTGCGGGCGTCTTTATGGCGTTTATAGGCTATTTCGATGAAGATGAGGAAGATCCCTGCTGCTATGCCACCAGCCACAAGCATGAAGACTCCTGTACAGAGGGAGCAGGAGGGCAAAAGAGTGAGCTGTCCATCTTCAAAACGCACGCTTCTCCCACCGGGCATGGACGCTGTGCGCAGCACAGCGAGTCATGCTCAGTGGTGGCCACGCCTCTTTTCAATCGGCTCCCACGAAATTGCCATTGTTTACGACCACGAAGCCACAGCACGAGAGACTGTACGCACGACCCACGCCAACACTAAGAAAAAGATTTGGGGTAAAGCTATTGGACAAAAAAGGGCTACAGTAACTTACCACTGCAGTTTTTGTCCAATCACTTTTAAGGCTTTTTTTCTACACCCTCCTAAGGACCATACCTGCCATGTTTTCAAAGGTGAGTGTGGCTGGGGCATTGCTCCTCGAGTCACACTCCTGGTATCTCACCCAGGTTTTATCTAGATCTTCCATGAAGCCGTTTTCATGAGAACTGCAAGGGGTCAGAAGTGGTGGGGAGAGAGGTGACAAAGTTAAGGCACCACGCAAATACGGAGATGCCAGAGTCGCTTCTACCCTGATCGCAACTTGTGAGACAGACACCGAGGACCAGTCGCAGACTGAGACAGACAGACAGACAGACAGACAGACAGACAGACAGACAGTGAGGGCTGGAAGGGGAGCGAAATAGAAAGATGTGACATAAGGCGATGGCTAAAAACGGCCAATGCGTGACCACGAAATCATATCGGTAAGAAACAGACAAAAATCAAAATCCGACGAATAATGCACCTTCGGCTGGGACAGACCTGAGAATGGCCAGGGACACATTCTGTTTCCAGGGGCTGTCCTTGCGCATGCCTATGCCAAAGCCCGATCGGAAAAACAGCTCTCCCGTGGTCACCAGGTCGCACTTCTGCGAGGCTTCAAACTCCAGCACCGCAGAGTCCCAGATGAAAGCATGCAGCTTGCTGTTGGGGACGGGGGGGAGGTAGGAGGAGGAAGGAGGAAGGTGGAAGGAGGGCCAAGGAGGAGGAGGAGCAGGAGGAGGAGCAGGAGGAGGAGTGGAAGGAGGGGTTACGGTGCAACAGTACAATGATCTTACATACACATTGACGCTCGGCGGCCCTTTCTCTCGCTCTCTCTCTCGTGCACCACATCTTGCGTGTCATTCAGCCTTTACCGGTAATCAGTACCGTTGCCTACGGCCCAAATGTAATCCAATTCCAGATGGGTAAGGGCGCCTTCCCCATCAGACTCCCCCCATCACAAAGATGTTCGTCTGGGTGCAACCTGAAAAAAGGCGCTCCTTCGCTCAGTGTTAGCTCCGTCTCTCGCTTGGTGCCCGCGCGGTTGTTCGTTCCGCGCCTACCCAGCTGAGTCTGCTCTCTGCTGAGCCATGGGCCCGGATCAGACAGATGACTGTAGTAAGTCCCACGGCCTCCATCTGATCCACCACGGGTCCATGCGTCCCTCCCCCGTGTCCCTCCCGCACCCCCCGAAATCCCCTGACGTGACCGGGGCAGCATTGACTTTGCGCTTGACAGGTTGAGCAGCCAGACGACACGCTCCGGTCAGCGCGGCCTGGCTGGGACTCACTTGTCACGCACTGCCTGGATGGCCTCGGCGGCACTCTCATAGTTGTGCTTTTCCATGTGGCGGTACATGGTGCTAAGCTCCACCTGCCGCCGGAAGTAGATGTCCACGGAGCTCTGCTTCACCGTGGCGTAGATGAACTTGTCAGAGGGGTTTCTGAGCTGAAGAGAAGATTTGGCAGCAGGTCATGGAACGGCAACAACCGCAGCTCAAGATCCCGACTGTTTCATTTGTGTAAAAATGACTTCGGCATAGGCATTTATTTGCAAGTCAACACTGGGTTGTTTGTGTGCAAACTCCTTTTGATGTTCAAAAAAAAAAAAGAACTTTCTCCTCCATTGTAGCAATTACACTACACCAAAGACAGCCCAATTCATTTTTTTAAGAAACTAAAATTTGGTGATCTTTCAAAAAAAAAAAAAAAAGGGAAATTTGTCAAGAAAATCTGAATCAACCAAAGCCATTTCCTACTGTTTTTTTTTTTTAAATATTGAGTCAATGCTTATATTTTTGAGTTTGAATTATGTACCCTTGGGTCATTGATGCCGGTGATGCGCTCCTCAGGCCGGTCCAGCACCAGGAAAGCAGCCAAGTTGGCAGTATAGGAAGCCACAATGATCATGGCAAAGCCAGCCCACACCATACCAAGAATTCTCGCTGAAAAGCTGCGAGGTGCACCTGCAGGTCAAGTATAAAAACTCTTGTCATTGTTGAAATAGGAGACCAAAGTGTCGATGCTGTGTACAACCGAGGTAGAGCTGGCAAAAAAAAAAAAAGGACAACAAATAGAAGCCACTAAATCCAGTGAATATGTAGAAAGACAAAAGGAATAAAATCGTTACAAGACAGTATCAAAAGCTTTTTTCTTTTTTTTTTTTTGTAATCCATTACGATGTCGTCTTCAAAAGAGAGGCGCCGCATCTGGAGCATGTCAAATTGCACAAAGAGCAAAGAAAGAGAAGACGCTTTTTAATAGCTTGACATCTAGGACTTGTGAGCTACTGTTGGCCACCCCCACAATAAAACAAAAAAAACAAAAAAAAATCATAATATCAGCTACCACATTCAACCAAATTGTTTCGGTGTGTCCATGTCACCTTCTCCAATTCCAGAGTTCAGAAGCACTCCCCAGGAGAACCACATGGCAGATGACAAGGTGAGGGCATCTTCCTCTTCTTCTTCACTGTTGACTTTAAATCTTCCAAAGGGGCTGCAGGAGAAATAACGTTTGGGTTGCGTGAGATGCAGACAGCCCTTGCGGAAAACCGTGCCTGAGAAAACCGTGGCGGCCTGAGGGCAAGGGAAGGAACTCAACGTGAGCGAGCAAAGCCAGAAAGACAGAACAGAAGGAAAAAAAGCGAACAAAGAAGGAAGCACAGAGACGTAGCGGTGGGATGGTTGGAGTCAATCTTCTCCTCTGTCTGTCTTCTCATCCAAACTGAGTAGAAGATCGCTCGGGATTAGGAGTGCCCCCCCCCCCCCCACACACAGGTTCCCCGTGTACCTGAACCGGTCTAGTAGGTAAAGCATCACCGCCACCACATGTACCGAAAGACCCACCAGCAGCCACAGAGTACTTTGAAACGGCTGCATGAACGAGTCCAGTGTACTGCGAGGGATTTCCTGAAAAACACACATCGCAACTGGTTCATGATACGCAGCCGGCGTCTTGAGGATGACATCATCATTCAAGTGCCGCAAGCAATTTCATTTACGTTCGAGCTCCCAACCTGGGAGTGGTCCAAAAAAATGTCTCTGCAACTGACCTTTTTCACGAGAATCGTGAGACCTTGATATTTGAAGGGTTTGGAGAACTCAATGTACTGGGCTCGTTCGTTGTTTATCGTCAGCGGGGCAACAATCATGTCAGCCAGGCCCCCCAGGAGCTCTCCCATCATGCCATTCCACTCTTTCTTGTTACTGTTGTTCACCTGGAGCCCCATCAACATGATTATCGGGACACTTGTCAACTAACGCGATTTAAGTACAGAAAAGTTGGACAGTATAGATGGCAACATTTCATCTCGTAAGCTATTTCTAAGAGAGAACTGTGCTGCAACTCTTAGTTTGCAGAAGCAGTCATGTGTCATAAGGATTTATTTGCATGCAAGGGGCAAGTGGAAATGTAGCAAAAAGTTGAGAAATTATCATCTCCCAATATGCATCAATAATCATGGCCAAAGATTTAAAACAAACTGAAGTGAGAGCCGTCACTTTCTGTAGGTGCGAAAAGCAGGATTAAAGAGGATAGCATTCAATCAAATTTTTTTTTAAATTAGGCTGCGCTATAATACTTTTTGTTTTGTTCTTTTCAATTTATACTGTTTCAAACTTAACAAGTGTGTTCATATTTAGTGGTCAACAGTGAAATGAGTGGTTCCAAAATTTACAGAGAAAAATGTGGCAAGTAACGTGCAATGTTTGTGCGTTCATAGAAAGACTGAATGACCAAAAAAAAAAAAAAAGTCCTTTAGAGAGGTCAAGTGACACCAACCCGCTCCTGCGTTCCAAATTTCCCATCAGCCACCAGATGAACCTCGTAGGTAAAGTTCATGGTCATAGCCAGCTTGATCAGCAGATCAATGCAGAATCCATAACAACACTGCGGCACAATTGGGCGTCCTGTAACCAAACCAGAAAAAGTTGCAAGTTAAAATCCACCGCGGGGATCTTTTCGTCAGGTGAAGTCCTTATCCGGCGCACGTTGACTGGACAAATGCATCACCCTCTCCTTATGCGGACTTCATGCTTGCGCGCAATCACTCTGAGCACATGACACACACACACCTACAATAGCCCAATCATCACACGCTCTCAATGGCACACTCAGCTACATGCATACATATATAGATACCTACTGCATATATATGTATGCATCTCCGGTAGGCGTATGTGCGTTAAAAGCACATTGACATAAACGTCCCTGATGTGTTACCTGGGATGGTCTCATTGGGCCCAGTGCAGATAACCTTTTTAATTAAGACTCCATTTAATGTCATTTCCTCCTTGCACGTTCCGTCTGGCATAGTGGGTTTCACATAAACAAATGGCTCCTGGTGTATTGTCACTATCTACAACAAATAGGACAGAAATCTGTTGATCACATTGGTTCAGCGGTTTCCAATCTTGCGGGACCGGCAAACAGCGACGGAAAATGGATGTCCCAGAAACGGCTGCAAGAACATACGCACAGACAAAGAGTCACGTGAAGCGTTTTTGGAAAAGAAATGTCTCATGTGTTGCTGACGCCCTTACGGTGGTGGAGCGGCTTCATTTCTCGCCGCGCGCTGTCTCACGGGCGGACATAATTTACGCCTCGTACTTGATATGCGCGGACGTGAACGTCACGTCAGCGTGTCGATTGTGAAGCCGCCTTACCTTCAATCGAGTCGACATCTGGAAGCCCTGTGGTTTTTCCGTCTCCCCGCCGGGCCAGATAATCTTACGCTGATTGTTCATGACCACCTGCGGGGAGACCAGACACACAGACACATTTCCAGTTTCATGGGTGGGTGCTGATGATGAGACCTTTACGTTGGGAGTAAGTATCCAATTATTTTTGATCGATCCACAGCTGTCTTGTTATTATTCATTTTCTCAGCCAATGACTACAGGGTGCGGCGTCACACAAGCCATTGATTCATATTGTCCTATACACAGCACTGTAGAAAAGACAGCTCTCAATCTTCTGAAAGTGAATCCGCGTGTATGTTTGTGGCGGCTGTCAATCTACCTGCGTCCCATTATAAACGCCCACTTGAATGAGTCGACTCTTCTGGTAGTTGAGAATGCTGTAGTGGGCATACTTCCTGTCTCCGTCGTCATTGAACTCCACACGTCCTGTGAGCCCCTCCGGGTATTTCGATGACATGAGCACCCTGTGGCAAGTAAACCGGAAGAAATATAAAACCTGTGTGGGAAAATCGGGACAGCTCCCGAATGGCTAATCATGCGGCTGTCTCCCTCCACTCCCCCCTCACATATGCCGCTGTCAGAGACTTGTTTTGATCACGTGGCCATGAAGAGCCAATCAAATTGTTCGTTTTCTGGAAGCAGCAGTATAGTAATAATAATAATCTACCTTTTGAATAGAGGTCCCGTTTTCCAGATGTTGGTGTTGCCCACGCATCCTCTTGGTGGCTCAGTGATATTTTCCTTCTCAAAGAGCTCTTGGACGGACTGGGCCACAACCGCCACCGCGTCATTGATATGAGCCGACTCGTTCTTCCCGTTGATGAGCTGCAGGCCGATCAAACCTGTGACCGATCCAACGACAAACGCACAATCACCGGCCTGAAAAAGGAGCTGCCCCCCTAGGATCCTTTTGCAATGCTTTAAGTGGGCAAAAACTTATAGGGTCTCTAGTTTAGACATCCTGAATAAAGGTGGCACATCAGTAGAAGCATCTAATTGCCCCGCCGGCATCAGGCAGGGCAACATAAAGAACGATATTGGTTGTTGTTTTTTTTTTTTTTTTTTTTTTGCTACTGATGACCTTTTACAGCATGTTTAAAGAGTCCCTTGAAGTTGGATTTCATTTATTCTTTTCCCGTTACTCCAAACGTAGGGAATCAAGCAAACTATTCCTTGTGTTAGAACAAAAAAAAAAAAAAACAATCATAATCCAACTTCAGCTAAGTTTTCCGATTGCAACCAGGTCCAACCGACTTCGACAAGAAGCCGCAGTGGAAGTGGAGACAATGATGGCACACACACACACACACTCACACACACACACACACACACACACACACACACAGAAAAAAAAAAGTGGAGAAATGCTTTCTGAGAAGAGGTTCTGCTGTGGAAGGTGACTGGGAGGGAGGAGACACACAAAGTTGGTGACCACAAAGTGTTACGATGTTGTGAGTATAATAATTGAGAAAAAAAAAAAAAAAAAAAAAACGGAAGCAATGAGAACAAGAAAGGCTGTTGTAGCTTACCATTCTACCAGTTGCAAAACTCTTCCTTAATAGTTCATTAGAAATCGGGACATTAACATGGCAGAATAGCACAATGAATAGCCAGGAAACACACAATTCAACTGAAGGAAAATAAGGAGCACTGAACACAACGCGTTTAAACCTTTAAACATTGGCTGCTTAAACGTTTAAACGCTGATCCATCACACGACACACATTGGTTCACATTGGTGAAATCATGTACGGGCGACACGTCAACGGTTCATCTCGCCAATCCCCCGTGTTTTGTTGCGAGTCTCCTTTGAGTTACGGCCGACGGCCGGCTTAACTTGCGCGTTTGCCACAGGCCTCCGCTCGACGGTGAACGTACCGTCTGGCGCCTCACTCAGCGCTTTACCCGACATCTCCCGCTCGCCCACCAGCCACACGTAGCCCGAGCCCGTCATGTTGAGGAAGCGGGCGGCCTTGTACACCGCGGCGGCGTCTTCCTCGCTGCCGTGACATGAAGCACAGTAGTGAGAAGCAGAATGTACAACGACTGAATGCATGAACGAAAAAACGTTGACGCAAAATACGCATTTGTATTCAGCTCTCAGTACTCGGGATATCGATATCAGGCTTGTGCAAAGCTTGCAGATGAGCTGCTCATTTGAATCGAGTGTGTTGGAGGGGGGAAGACATCCAAAACGGGCCAAATAGGGGCTCTGGAGGACCGAAGCACAGAGCTCCACTCCAATGAAAAGAAAAAGCTAAAATCGTCTCACCTGGCCGAAAGGATGATGACTCGAGCCTCCAGTTCTTTGGCCTCGAGCAGCAGGGCCGTTAAGTTAGTCTCCTGGCTGAACTGGAGGACTTTCTCTGCCTGTGATCGGGGCAGAAGAAAGGTCAAGCCGGCTACTTCCCATCCCTTAGACACCAGGATGCCTCTTTACCTGCTTGGTTCGAGTTTGGCCCATTATATCGTGTGAACTCGAGGCAAAGGTTTATTTAAAAAAATAAAAAAAAATAAAAAAAATAGCGATCCAGTGGGGGAATTGGCTGAATATAAAAAAAAAACAATTCAAAGCTTGAAGGGGGGGAAAAAACCCTATTGCATTTGATACATGCAAACTGAGGATCATCAAGGCTCCAAAAAAAGGACGTGCATGTGTTAGGTGGGGGTGGGGAGAAAAAGGTCAATGCAACCAGTAACTAAAAACGGGTGAAGGGGGTGAGCGGGACCGTTTGCCTCGACAAGAACAAAAAACAAAAAATAGCTGCTGAAAAGTAAGGAGGAAGTAGCATCCGGGAGACGGGTCGCTTCCACACTGCCAGTCCTCCGCAAAGGAAAAAAAGGCTTGCAAACTCTTTTGGTGTGAGAGTTCAGAGGACATGCATTCCTTCTTTTCGAACTTGAAAATGAAAATGATGAAAGCCAGGGCGCTGCTCGCTGATCTTTTTTTTTTTTTTTCTTGCTGAAAACATTTGTCATAGCAAAACCATTCTTCATTTCAACGACATGGGAATTCCTCAAATTAAAAATTAAAGAAAACACGTGCTACCAACAGTTGAAAATGGAGGGCAGCAAAGCATTCCAACAAATCTCCACTTGTGCTTCAAATTGGGATCTTTCACTGTGAGGCTTGCAAAGACATCCAGACTGCTCAGCAACGGCGGCCGTACCGATCCCACTTACAGTTCAACAAACAAATAAGCAGCGAGTGTTTTAGCCTTGCTGAATTCATTCTGTCAATCTCATTGATTTGCTTTTATCCATCAAGCCACACTTACACTTAAGCTCTTGTTTCATAAATTGGATTCTACACAACCACATACATGACTCAAAACTCACACTTGGCTGGCCCGCCCAAAAAATAAATAAAAATACTGTATAATTGACAACCATTATAAATGCATTATAAAACAGGCCAAAATTCCAATAAACATTTTCCACAAAAAGAGGAGTGGGCTCCCCACCAATACAAAACCGGGGTGTGTTCAAGTGACGCTGAAGTCCATAAACCTCCTTCAAAAATCCCAATTTCTACCTTCACAGCCAGATGATGACCACAAAAAAAAAGAAGGCATGACTAAATAAACGCAGAACAACACAATCTTTCACGCACAAGTTGTGAGCTTGCAGTTGTCGCATCTCGCAAACGCCAGCAAAATGCTTTCTACGTGTGCAGCCACCTAATTAGGCACATTCTGATTCTGCATAACTGCCTCTCTGCACTTTGGCCAGAGTGTGAAGTGCGAGCACAGCACAACGTCTTTGGCCTGAAACGACAAGAGGGCCATTGGGGGTCTGACCTGAGAAAGACCGCGGTCGAGGTTCAGCGTGCTGATGACTAGTATGCGGCCGTAGACCGGGACTTTGGAAAATTCTGAATTTCATAAATCAATTCATGTTGTTAAAAAAAAAAAGAAAATAATTATATATACACACACACACACACACACACACACACACACACACACACACACACACACACACACTCTGACAAAAATAAATAAATAAAAACAACATCCAAATCTCAATTGGAAACCAATAAAATTACCTCGCTGACTATTAAGTGAAATGTCAGAGCTAAAATATTGAATGTTTTCTCTATCAGGGGATGCAGCAGCGTAAATGATTTAGAAATGACATTTGCCTCATCGTTGAGTGTTGAAGCATTTATCTCAAAGCACATCGCTCCACTTAGCAACACACCGGCAGTAGTCCACATGAAAAGAAATTGTGTTTGCCATTTTTTTTCTTTTCTTATTCTTCCCTTTGAGTGTTTTTTTTTTTCGGAGTGCTCTATTTTTGTTCCCACATTCAGACATTCAACTAGGGGATTAACCACAACATTCCTCTTCTAATTAGAGCATAGCGAGATTTGGCGGTAGTTCAACTCAATATCATTTCACATCATATAAAAACAATTTATGCCGGGTTGGTTTAAAATCAAGCGTAAAATTCGATTGAGGGAAAGTACACAGAGAAATATTTTTGAAATCAGGTTTACATGCGCTGACAATGTGAAGGATTCGTTCAACGTTGGTGTCGCCAATGTTGGGCAAGCTACAGTCGAACCTCTTTTCAGAATTCCCCGTTTACGTTTCCCCCCACCCTATAACGATCGCATTTCAACGTCCCAATTTCATGTCGTTCATTTTTCATTTGGCAATTTTTCTGACAATCTTTACGACGTCAACTTCATGATAACGGCCGGGAAATAGTGAAAATGCTTTCGTTACAACGAACCACGGGAAGCTAACTGCCTCCGCGACCTTGCTTTTGAACACACAGTGCAGCGTGGGATTTCCCCTCCGTTGCTTAGCAACACGACTGAACGACTCGTTACATTGTTGTAGTTCTGGAGGCGCGGCGTACATGGTCTGAAAACGCGTGTGGTAAATGGAAGCAAATCTCGCCGTTTGTGGAGACCGGAATAGTGTGATATGCTGATCGACTGAGTTGGAAAAGCGTACTCCGTATTTTCTCGTTTTCACCAGGGGCCTGCGGCTTCATTTTCAGATCCAGAATGTGCGCGTGGTAAAATTACGTCACAGGTTCTCATCAAAAGGCTTTTCAGACCCCCCGCTTTGCCTCTTGCATGCAGGATGCGAGTTCCGGGAGGCTGATTTTAAATGTCAGTAGCATCATTTAAAACGCCCGAGCGGCCCATTCCAGTGAGATGAAAGCAAAAATGTTGAAAAAGCCCGGTGTTAATCACTGCTGATCCAGGTCACTCATTCCAACAGCTTTCACAGCCTTCCTGTGAATTGCCTCAAGTGAGAGCGTCACGTTGGCCGCGTCTTCGCCTTCTGATTTAATTAAACCTCTGAAACAGGAATCGGTTCAGTCTGATACACAATTACAGCCAAGAGGCCCAGAGAGGCACAATGAGAGTGTAAAGGGAAAAAAAAAAGATCCACTTGGGTAATTTCATCTTATTAAACGGATGAGAAAGATGCTTTTCTTCACTTCCTTTTGCATCATCGCAGGTCATCTGAGATTTGCCTCACGGAAGATCAGCGTTTCAGCGACCCGCATCCGCAGCTCAGAGGCGGGCAGAAACGCGGGCATCAGCACTCTATAAAAGCACCCAAATCATCCAGTGCGCTGCAATAAATACAAAAAGCTACGAGGGAAATGATTCCTCCCGTGACCTCCTCTGAAAAGAGTCCCCGACTTCTGTCTGTGATGGTTTGCAAAGCCTCACATCAAAGTCCACTATTTTGGCTCCCAATGCTGATCGACATGGGATATTATTTGGACTATGGCGAAAAGCAACGTGAAGATGAGCAACACAACTCTGGTCCAAAGTAGACCACATTAGACGCTGCTGATGTCTCTCGAATGTTAGCGAATGCTTACACAATGGTGAGAAAGAGATGTTGGCCACGTAACAGAGAGGGGTGGGGGGGAAACGGCTTGATACAAACTGCGAGGAGGTGAGAAGTCGAGGGCGGATGGGGCCCGGGAGACCGAGCGTCTCACCTTGGTTTCTCTCTCTTCCAGGAGCGTCTCCAGCCTCTTCTGAGCAGCTCGGCCCTCGTGGTCATCGCTCACGATCAGGATGATGTGGTTCCAGTTGAACTCGCGCATCAGGTCAAACCACACGTGCGCTTGGTGCGAGTAGGGGGGCACGGTCCGCAGGAAGGACAGATGGATACTCTGGGACGAAGGACATTTCGTCATGGTTTACATGTCAAATCAAATCCGAGGAACAGATGTCGCTTATGCAGCATTTCCATGTCATTTACGTGTCGGAAAGTGCCCAAAAAGGAGTGAACAGCACGAATGTCATGATGGGAAGACGTTGGAAGTGGAATTTAACCGCACACAGTGACGTATTCTGGCCTTTCGACGGGTCTAAGTCACGTTCTCCCGTTCAGTCCGTCCATAATCTGGCCTGATACGTGAGAGCACTTCTTTCCTCTGGGCTGTCTGTCATAATCCAGACCTCATTGGCTCAAGTCAAATCTTTTTATACTCTAGAAAGAGAACAGTGTTCCAAAAGAAAGGCTGAATTCCCCTTGCATGACCAACATGGGGCCTGCGGGTACCAGGTTACGTATTAAGTAGCCCACTAGCATGCTGAGATGTTTAAAAATAAATAAATAAATAAAAAAAATAGATCATCCGATCTGAGGGCAAAAAAAAAAAAAACAAACAAAAAAACTTGATGATAAATCCAAGCGTCAGAGGATAAATTTATGCGTCCCCTTCATAAGTTAATTGTCAGTGGCTGGTGCTTCATAAAAATTTAATTCAGGTCAAAGACATTATTGATGGAGATCTTTCAATTTCATGCTGCGAACATATTCAATCATCCGCCCTCTAATGGACAGTGATGGGCCATTTAATCTTGGAAGCTTTCGAAGTCCTCCCGGGAGACTTTTCTGACTCCGTGCCTCTCTGTCCGTTCTCTTTCGTCCTCCCTCCCAGCCTGGATCTCATTTGCATATACGTACCTTGTCTGAGTAAATCGACATGCGAGTGGTGAGCCCCACCACGGGGATGCGGTAGAAGCCTGCGGTGTAGGAGACAGGTGTCGGAGTCAGGTGGTCATTGGACTGGGGCGGGTGACTCACCAGGATGGCGTAGACCTGCGCGGACGGACACAACACTTTGCATTGAGACTCCAAAACTAAAGTTGGAGGACCGATTTTCAAAACGAACAGGAATCAGCATTTAAAACTGAATGAATCTTTTTATGCCCCAACTGGACAGAACTCAATCAAGCATGATATTCAATAATATTCTTGTAAAGATTTTAATGAGGGCATCAATCCTCGCTATTATCCGCTCTTTTTAAAGCCATGTGGTGCATGAGTCACTTGCAATTAAGATCCACTTTCCTAGGTTGGTGCAAACTTTTCGAGTTTGTTCTGGAGTAATTAAAGCGAGGCTTCATTGATTTTATGTGTGGAGGGTTGATTGGTAGTAATTAATTAGTTCAGCTTGGAAAAACACAAAGAGTTGAAAAATGCACCTCTATATTTTATGGAAACATTTTAAATACCCATGATGGGTCCAACGAGACGTTGCGTGTAATTTACTGCTGGACAATAGACACACATTCGATGAGGAAGACACACACAAAGAAACCCCAATGCCATAACACATAGCAAAAATTTGCGAGGTTGACCAGAAACAGAAAACAAGGCACACACTGGCATGTTATTTTTGAAAAAAAAATTTTTTTACAAAAAGTATATTTTCACAAGTTTTGTCGAGCCCCGGTGTGCAAAAGAACAGGCAAGCACACATTTCTGGAACAAGGAGAGGTTTACAGTTGGAGGAGACACGCCACACAGGTGACATTAAAAACAAATGCCGTGCCGAGTATTTTTAACAAGCAAGCTGTGGGCGACGAGTTTAACTGCCGGATGGAGGATGTGCTTTCTCTCAAACCCTCTGCCATCGTGGCCGTGATGTTCATAACGCAGGTGGAGTCTGCGCTCGTAAATTAGGACGCTGAGCCACTGGACCAACGCAGCACTCTGATATTTATGCGCGTCAAGTGGTGGGACGTATCAATTACAACATTGTCCATTGGTCTACTCGTGGCTGCAGGGTGTACCCCGCCTACTACTGGGATTGGCTCCAGCATGCCCATGACCCGCATGAGGATAAACAGATTCGAAAATGGATGGATGGGTTCCAAAAAATTCCCCGTAATCGTGGAGAAAGAGGAATAACGTTGCCGTGTGTGTGTAGCCGTGGATTATTGGATGCGAGCCGCCCGCATGTTTGGGTCAAAAATGCGAGTTACCATCCAAGGATTGCTCGCAGGCATCTACTCCTCCATCTGCCACAGACTTTCCCTCTCAGTGACTGTAATCGCCCGCAAGCCAAACACAGAGGATTAAAACTTTCATTGATTCTCGACTGGCACACAATCTGTGGCCGTTGTTTTAAATGCAAAATTATTATAACATGAATCTGAATAATACATATCGGAGGAGGCAGAGTGAGCTCATGCCTCGACGTGTTACGATGTAAGTTTTTTTTTTTAAAGCAATGTTGCGTATGACACGGGCATATGGTTGGAGCGGTGAACAACTCTCCGAGGTGCATTGTACTTACTATGCATTACTTATGAACGTGTTTAATTGGTTCAATCTGTCGGCTGCTCCAATTCTGAAAACACTTGTAATGCAGGAAGACATGTTGTTGTATTTAATACTCATTTAAAAGCAGTATCTATGTGAAGAAATTGATATTCGAATGGCTTGTACGTGAGAATGAGCCGCCCTGAATGTGATAGCAAGTGCAACGATCACTTTCAGTTTTCATACAGAGCGTGCACCGCCTGTCAGGCGGCCTGCGATAGTCAACGCCATTTTCCCCATTTTCACTCCTCACTGGATTCCATTGCACTTCACTAGATCTGCAGCTGTGTGTTTGGGAATGTGCAGTAGCCCCTTCATCCGAGATATGCCTCCGACCCGAAGCCTATCGTCTGCGCGTGGGGGAGGTCATTATGCCGGACTGAAAATGAACCGATTTGTGGTTTGAGTTCCATTTTGAACGCATGCCAAATTATTCCAACGGTGCTTCCGTGAAAAGTGCTTTGTTTGCATTTTTTTTTTTCCATTGGAGACCAAAATCGAGTCCAACTCACATGTTTCATCATATCGCGACGCTTTAATGGTAGCACAGTGGATGACTGATTCGCACATCTGGCTCACAATTCAGAGGTTGGGTGTTCAAATCGAGGCTCTGGCTGTTCTGTGCTTTTTCTTTTGTGCTTCCTTGCTCTTCCCTCCCACATTCGAAAAACATGTATATTCATTGACGGCTGTAAAATGTCCTTAAGTGTGACTATGTTTGTATGTAAATGTTTTTCCAAAATGTACACACACTCTCATCAGAAGTCAAATGGAATCGGGTAGGACCCAGCTAACCTAAGACCCTTATTAGAATAACCGGGATAAAAAAAATAAATTAATGTGTGGATGCGTGCACAACCCTATATGAAGTCTATACGTAGAATCGAGAGATGGTGATGTAACCATGGCGACTGAGTGAGAAAAGACTTGCACCTGCACAGTACAGGAAACGTGTCGTGATTCCCACCTAACTTTTGATTTAAAGACTTGCTAGCAAATACCTCTCCACACACTTTTAGAGCTGAGCCGAAGAAACCGGTCAGTAAGCTAAATGAGGTCGCTTTGACATACCTGACTGGAGATGAGGTCCTCGCATACGGACAGGGCCATCTGAATGGCGTTCGGTTTATGCGTGACGGAGATGGCCGTGAGCTTAAATTTGTCCCGTCCATAGACTTGGTTGGCTTGGGTGACGGCATCCTTGAAGACCTGCTCGTACCTCTTCTGGCTGAGGACGGCGCCGATGTTGACGATTTTCGGTTCGCAGCCGGCCCGCGCGCACGAGCACCAGACGACCACCGCCAGCAGAAAGAGCCGCATCGTTTGCGCCAGCAGCACCGTCAAACTGAAGCCCCCTGCCCGCGCACTTCTCTCCCTGGTGCAGGCGGCTCGGCTCGAGCGGCTTCTGGACGGCAGCGCGACTCTGCAGGCACGACGCGTGTGGGTGGTGTGATCGGGGAGCGATGGAGGGAGAGTGGCCAAAAAACAAACACACACACACACACACACACACACCCAAAAAAAAAAAAAAGGAGTGAGAACAGAACACTGACAAAGCTGTGAATTTATTGGCAATGCGGTGGATTGAGCGCGATCATCTCAGAAGCAAGCGGCGAGGGAACATCTTGCACCTTTCTCCGGTGAAAAATGTCCTCGCCCACGGGATCTGCAGTGCCTCGTGAAGCGTGTGAGCCACTCGGGGGACGATCACGCCGAAGTTCCGTCGCAGGTCGCTCCGGGCTAAGCGGTCGCTGTCCTTGGTCCTGACAGCTGTGCACGCGCGCTTGGTGCTCCTGCGCGCTCTCGCCATGCACTCCCAATATTTTATTTTATTTTTTTTTTATTCCGTGCGCGGGTTGGCGAGATGTGCTGCCAGTGATTCTGAAGCAGCACTGCAACCACAGTAGCCTATATAGCGCACACAGTGCGGTTCCCCAACCTTTAGTGAGCCAATTAAGGCACACAAGATAAATTCCATGCATGGTACACTACCAAACACAAATGTCACAAAAACAGACACACTTGACTTTTGAGCTTTCTGTTCAACGTCAAATCACTATTACTCATTTAAAATCAATTGAAATACTATTCGTCCATTCCATCCACCAATACACCATTTTGGTACTGGTCCACAATTTTAATAAAGACAAAATCTCACTGTAAAAACAATTTCACCACAATTAAGGCCAATGTAAAGAAATAAGATGCTTCAAAATAAGTGAATCAAGCCAAAAGCCACACAAGCAGATGCACACATCACATTGCTTGGCGTTTGTATGGTTGTGTGTACCGGTACCTTTAAGGGGAGTGACCAAATAAGTAAGTAAAAACCCTCCTAAGAATCTGTAGAGTCAAATTAAGTAACCCGACCTGTTCAAATTGCACAGTTGTGTAGGAAATGGGTTGGGGGAAATGACCCAGCATTTTTCAGGGTGTGCATTTACTCTTCATTCCATTTTTTGTTTCGGCATTATCATTGGATTTGACCTCTTCATTAACACTGATTTGAGAAAAAAAAACGTGCACAAAAACTGCAGATTAAGAAGCAAAACATACTAATGGCATTAATCCCAAAATCTGACAAGGTTTGCTGATACGATTTCATGATAGAAAAACCCACAGCGATCAAATAAATAACAATCACAAAAGCAATCCATCCATCCACCCATTTTCTCATCTGCTTTCCCTCACAAGGGAATCCTGGCTGTCTTCGAGCAGTAGCCGGGGTACCCCCCTGAACTGGTTGATAGCAAAAGCAATGACAAATTCAAACATACATATGGAAATTAACCATGGGAAATTGCATATTGCTTATTGCGGTTCCACTGAATTATTAAAAAAACAAACTCACCAAAAAAGGCCTGGACAAAACTGATGGGACACTTAAAAAAGCTTGAAAACAATTTGACCGTCATGCTCATGTTCAACCAAGGCGTGTCCTCAAATTAGCATCACAGCTGTCTTTTGGCTTTCGCCACAGGCCCGTCGACTAAACGAGCCTTGATTAGAAATACCTGTGCTGCAAGCCAAACTGGTTGCGGTTTTTGCTTTCTCGACCTGGATTCCCCCATCTCTGACTAGAAGTGCAATAAGGAATGACAACCTCCCTGGACGTAGCGATCTCTTTGAAAGTTACAAGAATATTTTGATTGCAGTCATTGCCTCAAAAGGTTGCGTGATAAAATATTAAATTAAGGGTAATATCATTTTGCTCCAGGCCTGTTTTCATGAGTTCCAAAAATAATTCTGATGAACTACAGTTCAAAAGCGAGGACAAATTTGAGTCCACAGCCTGCACCATTTAAAACTCATTTCAGACCCCAAGACATATTTGAATGTCGTTTCAGACTCCACACATTCAATCCCAGGTACTTATTTCTACTTTTTTTTTCAAGATTTAGGGCAAAAAAAATAAATTTGGGTACTGTCATAAGGAAGTAAGCCAACAGACATACGCAAGTAGTAAATGGCCTTCATATGGCACCTGGCCGCCCAGGGGGAAAAAAAAAAAAAAACCTCACCCATTCATCCAATGATGAGACTAATGTGAAAGTACCCTGCCAACGGCCGGGATCGTATTTTACTATCTCGCTCTCTGAATAAAATGGAGCTTGAAAGTAGACAAGCCGTTCATCAGAGAGTAAGTCGGTCACATCCGTCTTTCCATCTGTCACACACTTACTGTCCCACGCAACTTGTGTTCCTCATGGCGGGTGACAGAAGGCAGGATGTGATAGTGTGTGAGCTCTGGTTAAAAAAAAAAAAAAAATAACGTGAAGAGCATTCTTGCTGCTATACAGGGGCAGAATCAATCTCACGGTTACCTAGGAAACAAGAATCTCTCTTCCGCTCTCACGCACGCTGTCACGAAACGGAAACAGTCACAAGCCCATTGTGTGAACAAGTCAAACACACATTTGTTCTTTTACTTCAATTATTAACAGTCAAATGAATATTTTCACCCGTGGGGATTAAGCTGCGGGGCCGTGATGTGTTTATCCCGAGTATACAGCCTTATTATTATCCACAAATGCCGCCACTTGAAAAGGGTGTTTGAAAACGGGGCCAGTGCGAGAATCATCAAACAGCGTGCTGAATTATAAATCAGTCAACACGCCGGTGTCGCTCGGTGTTGCGGGGAGCCGATGAATAAATCACGAGGATGAACGAGTCGCCATTCATCATCGGCGAGCTGGGAGAGAACCGCTTTCAATTTGTCTCAATTTGTCTCTCGTGACAATTAGGCCCCATTCATTTTGGTTTGATTTAGACATAGCGCTCCCATTATTTGTTAATACCATCTCCAAAACAATCATGATAAAGTATAGAGGGAAACTATACGTTGGCAGCTGGTGTGCAGCCTATGATCATACGAAAAAAAAAAAAATGTTCTCATGCGTTTCTGTGCACCACCGCAGTGGTGTGATACAAACACAAATCAGAGTCCAAAGGTGGCCCAAACCCTGCAATCGTTGCCAGTCAATCTCGGGGCAAATATAGTAACAGACGACCACTCCCTCTCATATTAACACCCCCCACCCCCACCTAAGTTGGAAACTAACCCACACTACTTGTCCCAAAGTCAAATGACCACCATCAGTGCTTTCAACGTGAGTCCTCTCACTTAAACTTCCAAGGTCCTCGCTCATTATTTCATCTGCTCTATGTGAACAACATATCGCGCGCCATGCATGATTTTTAAGTGCGCTTCCATTGTATGGCAGTACACCTTGCCGTTCATATCACGGGTTCAATAAAGGTTTGGAAAGCACCACATTAGTGTCGTCGTCGTTGCTGCGACTGCTGCTGGTTTTCTTGGCAGCAGTGTTGTACCAGAACGGCAAGGCTAACTGAATGCTTCGACTCCTTCCGAGTAACATCCTCCTTCGATTTTCTGGTGCGGTCTGTTATTTACAAACAAGACAGATAATACTTTCTCTGCATTCAGTGTCAGGGGCCAGCAAAGCGCCAATAATTACCCTCCTTGCCTTGATGTGACTGCTGCAGACACTTTGCATTCAACTCACCCCTCAGTGGACGGCCCCGCAGTGTCAAGGCTCCCCGTTAGAGGAGGGTGAGAAACCTTCCGCTGCTTCTATTTCCACCCACTCTCACATCAGTAAGGTGGGCCCAACCCGCTCTGCGGTCATTACATAAGTGTCCGACGAGTTTTGAAAAGGCTCCCGCACTCAGCGAGACACAGGCGCAAAATAAGCATCAGAAATGGTGAATAATTGTAAAAAAATACATTCAAAATCTTGAAATACACAAAAACTCATTTACCAGTAGAATGTTAATGTATTCAAATAATGTTTAAGATTTTTGAATTTCTGCTTGTAGTGCAGTTTCCCTACCTTCAGTGAGCCTCCCCATGTTTTGTGAGGTGACATTTGCTTTCAAGCTACCGTCAGTGGTCCAGTCAACAACCATTGAGAAGTCAAATGAATTTGCCCACATGCTTTTGATTCGTGAAGATATTTAACACTAAACAAGAAAAAAGAAGTCGTTCAACACTATCCTCGAGTACCAACTCAGACAATGCGGGTTTCCATGGCAACACCAGGCAACCCGTTCGCCTTATTACAAGCAGCTTTACAAATGATTGGAAGGCCCTTGGTTCAACTGCTTTGTGTTTATGTGCTACTTTATTCATTATTGAGTTGTTTGTATCAAGAATAACTCACAATATTAATCTCATTATATACATACAGTGTATATGATGTGTATTGATTAAGCATGCAAATTGAAGTAAAACACTAAGCTTGACATTTAAACACATCAAAGCGCTTTGCGTGCCTTCCGCGCTTGAGCAAAACGTGTGTGTTCGTCGTACACAATGCGTTTTTCACATTAGTCTAACGCAACCCTGTGACATGCAGCCCAAGTCATCTGATCGAGAGAGAGAGTGAGCGAGCGAGCGAGAGAGGGGGCAAAGCAGGCCTTCCTCTTGCCAACACTCAAACAGAGCTCATTTTGAAATGAGTGCTTCAGTGAGTCAATGTCAAAGTGAGGCCTGTCTTTCTGATGTGTTTCTCATGTTCTGCCCCGCATAAATCATACATGTGTTAGCCCTGTCAGCGCTTGCCTCTCTCCATGCCGAGCTGAAGTATTCGGTCGTCACGCGCAGCAGCACACAATCGCCGTCAGATTTGGGGTTTGTGCTACATTGGAAAAA